TTTCGTTCTTTACTCCACTTTTTGTTTTATGCAAATCTTTATGTCGTATTTTTCAGTTTTTTTCGCTCTTTAGATCATTTGATATGTTTTTTCGTTCTTCCGATTGTTTTTCAGTTTTTCTTACTTTAGGTCATTTTTTGATGTTTTTTCGTTCTTTTGGTCATTTTTAAAAAAAATGTTTCTTCGTTCATTAGGTCGTTTTTTATGTTTGTCCGCTCTTTAGGTAATTCTTTTAATGTTTTCTGTTCTTTAGATCATATTTTTCATTTTTCCGCTCTTTAGAACATGTTTTTCAGGGGGTTTTTTTTTCGCTTTTTAGGTCATTTTTATGTTGTTTTTTTTTTCTTTCTTTTGGTCGTTTTTTTTTTAATGTTTTTGGTCATTTTTTAATGTTTTATTCTTTAGAGCATATTTTTCAGTTTATTCGCTCATTATATCATATTTTTTCATTTTTTCCGCTTTTTAGATCATGTTTTTTCGCTTTTTAAGTCATTTTCGTCCTTTCGCTCTTTAGGTCATTTTTATTGATTTCTTTCGCTCTTTAAATATTTTAAAAAATACTTTCGCTATTTAGCACATCTTTCGCTCCTTTTCAGTTCTTTCTCTTTTTTTTCTCCGTACTTTCTCTCTTTCGGTCATATTTTCCCCCTTACAGTGTTGCTAACCACCCACTTCAATCTGGGAGAAGTAAACCTCTGAATACCAAACCGTGAAGAATACAACGGGAAAAACACTAAATAAATTTTCTAAGAAGATAATAAAGAAATCCATGATCGCCTCCGTCCTGAAAAGACGTAACATTAAAAAAAATCTAGACTGTAATATATTTTCTAATGCCATATAAATATCCTTTTCTTTACTCGGGTAAAATGACGAATAAATAACTTGCACGTATATTCCTATTTTAAATGTTTTTATTTTTTTTATTTTCCAGGTATTGTGCAACTTACCTGATCACCAGCAGCCGTGAAGGGTGTAACAGCAGTGAATGGGCGAACATTCTGCGAAAGAAGGAGAAAGTGTGTGTCGAGTGTCAGCCACTGGCTATGCACAGGGAATTGGGTCTTCGGTGCAAAGGTCATGGCGTCACTAACGAAATCACTAATTGGCACGCCTTGGACGTCCCCCACTGCCACGGTGAATGGGTGCTCACAACAAAGTTGGAGGACTGCACGTGTCACCTTGAGAAAGAGAAGGGTTTCATCTTCGTATAAAAACCAGAGAAAGAGAGAGTGAGAGAAAAAATCAAAATGAATATAGTTTTTTTTTTGTTTTTTTCAGTTATTAATATTTTCCCTCCCTGTCAATAAAAAAGAAATATCTCTTCTCTTTAAAATCGTTTAATTCGAAGGAATTTTTCGATGATGATGACAGTCTTTTCTCTGTCGGGTAACGCCGTGCACTCTTGCCTACAACAGCCAATCACTGGTGCTGATAAATCGATTCAGAATTCAATTGTTCTTTCTTTTAATCAAAATTCATCCGATGCCAAAAAGTAGAAACAAAGTACTTTAGTATGTGTATGTGTAAATATAGATAACCCCAATTTTGTAACTATTGCAACCAGAACTATCTCCTACTATTTGCAAGAAAATGTTTCAACTGAAGGAAAAAAAAAACTTTCAGCGCGTATTATATATATATATATATATATATATATATATATATATATATATATATATATATATATATCGCTGATGTGCGTAGACCAATAATACAAAAAATAGATAAACCCCATAGATTAAATAGTATTACCAGAAAGCAGGTATTTGTTGCAACAGTGTACAGAGGACAAAATGAAGACATGGCGTGAATTTCCAAAAGGGGAACGTTACATAACTGACGTTTTGGCGCTGAGCGTGTTAATATACAGTGGATTTGTGTTAGTGATTAAAACCAATATTCCCCCCCAAAAACATGTATAATCAGTAATTTGTATGATTCATACCCCCCCCTTTCACATATATAATGCAAAAGTTCAATAGAGAGCATATGAGTATAAGTCTTTTGTTTGTTTTTGTTTTTTGTTTTTTTTTAAATCAGCTCGGGATTTGTTAAGTGCACAATTAATTGACGGATAAGTCAAGCTGAAAGCACTAAGTTAAGCAGCGTTGGACCTGCTTATTAATTTGGGTGACTGCTCTTGGGTCAGTATGTGCTGAAATCAGTTTTGGCTTTTGTGTTAGACAAATCAAAGCTAAGTAAATAAAAAGTGACAGATGAACACCAGGTATTGTAATCAAGTTTGACACAATTTTGAACAACCGGTTTTCAAATTGGCGAAGAACAACATCTCATCGGTTGAAGATAAAAATTTATATCATAAGCTAAAACTTTTAATGACAATTATTCATCAATCAAATATTATCAACAAAAAAAAACAAAATAACAGTTAAATTTCAAAGTCTCAAAAAGCTGTTACTTAATACAGGATTGTTAATACTTTTTGGCAGATATGTACTGTAAGATCAATTAACCAAATATTCTTACTTATAATAAGAAAACTAACTGGGTGTGTCCCGAGTCTAACCAAGTATTTTCATGTTTAATTTTAAAAATATGTATTAAATTGAATTATAGTTTTTGCTGGTTTCTGTAAAAGCAAAACTAATGCTCAAAGTAATAACAATCCAAAACAAAAAGTTTTTCTTTTATATAAAACATAATATATATACAAATAAATATATATATATATATATATATATATATATATATATATATATATATATATATATATAAATTCATTTCTATCGCTCAATTCATTTTTTTTTTTTTTCTAAAAACAATGTAATGACTTTCTGAATGAATCCTATAAGTCATGAGAAAATTTTGTACGTTTCTAAGTTATAACAAACAAAAACATTTTTTTTCTCATTTCTTTGTCACAAAACACATTTAATCATTGTCCGAAATGTCGTTTTGTATTTTTGTTTTTGTAAGATAACTGGAAAAAAATATTTGCTGAAATTTAGCGCATGCGCAACAAACATGTCTGAAACTCCATTTTTTTTTTTTTTTTAAATTAGTTCTTTATAGAAAATTATTAATATGAATAATTATTTTGGATATCAGAAATAAAATAGATGTAATGTTTTGCTTTTGAAAGTATTTTTTTTTAAGATTATGAATAATACGATGGTTTTTTATATTGTATCTTTTTATGTAAATTTGTTTTCAAAATAAAATGAAAACCGATAAACTGAAATTTAACTTTATCTTTGCAAATAGCACTGGAAATATCACACATTAAAATGGCTTCATTATTAACAAAATATAAAAGTCTTTTGATTGGTTGAAACCTTCTGTCCACCAAATACCTAACTATACAATTACTGGTATTTTTGTTACATATTGTAAACGTTATAAAAGTTTATTTTGTCCTTCCAATATGATTTATCACAGATCTATATGATATAGAAAATAAAGACAGAACTTGTGAAAATAGTTAACAGAATAACTGTTGTGTCGTAATGTTTCTTCAAAGGTGTAAGTTATTAGGTGTATTCGACTCTCAACACCTGTCAATGATGCCACCACAGTTGAAATGTAAAATAAATATATATAAAAAATTGAATTTTTTTTCTGTATCAGTCAACAAAATTCAAAGTTAAATTTTGTCGATTGTTGTACATTTAATTCACCCCCCCCCTAACGTTATGATTTTTTTCGGGGGGTGGGTATGAAACCGGGAAAATATATCATGGATGAATCCAAAATTAAAAGAAGTAAATGTTTATCCATTTTTTTTTTTTTTTTTGTCTTAATGAAAACTGCTTCTTCATTTTATGTTTTCAGTGCATTTTTAATTTAAAAGAACTTTTTTTTTACTCTTTATTCTCCGCCTCATCTGTTGACAGGATAGACAAGCCCGTGTTTTTAGCCATTCTATATATATATATATATATATATATAAGTTTCTTTAAAAACAACTAAGTACTGCGGTTAAGTTTTTTTTATTTAAATTTCACCTGTTGATATATTTTTTTTTCTTTTCTGAACATAAATTGTATAGAAATGAACGCTTTTGGCTATACGTTTAGCCGTTATCAAGAATGGATTTTATTTTTAATTTTAACTGAATATATGGATTGTTTTATCAATGCATGTATCTCGAGTTATAGAAATGTTTTTTTATTTTCGAAACATTGTCAGCACATTCCTACATTCCTATAAAATTCCTAAAACTCTAGATACATAAATAAAAAACAATCCATACATTCATTTAAAAGAAGAAATAAAAGCCATCCTTGATAATGTCTAAACGTATAGCCGAAAGCTCCCATTTCTATATAATTTACGCCCAGAAAAGAAGAAAAATCCAAGAACGCATGAATAATTAAATAAAAAAACTTATCCCCAGTACGTTGTTCGACGTTTTTAATGAAACTTGTATAAAATAGAGACCGCTGTCCAAATACACTATATATATATATATATATATATATATATATATATATATATATATATATATAGTGTGTGTGTGTGTAAATCTATTTAAATTCGGTGCGTGAAAAACCTGGATAGCACAATTTAAAAAAAAATTAGCATCCGAGGAAAAATTGGAAAAAAAATAAAAAGCATCAGGTTCCTCCGAAAAAGGCGAAAGACATCGTTCAGTACTTTAATCTCTGGCACAAAAAGAAAAAAGTACCCCAGCGAGTAATAAGTTAAAACGAAGAGTGCTCAATACACTACGTAGAACAAAAGTAAAATAAATAAATCCTAATGAGCCAGGTACTACCTACCTGGCCAGTTCATCCTGATGCTTCAATTGGGTTTGGATTCAGAGTTTTCCTTCTCCTAGACTGGTTGCCAACCGAGTCTGTTCTGCTATTTACTTATAGCTGGTTATAGTGTTTGGGGGTGGAAAAGAGATGGATTCATACCTTTCCCAGTGTTATTTGTGCCTAAGTGAATGTAACGATCTCAACTAGAATTCGAAATCGGCTACACGATTCCGCATCCCGAGCTGTTATTCATTGCACCATCCGCACATCCAGGCTTGCAGCACTTAATAATCTCAAGCGGTCACCTATCTAGGTACTAACCAGGTCCAACGTTGTTTAACTTCGGTGATTGGACGAGAACCAAGATTTAAACGTGATACGGCCGTCGGTCATGCAGCTGGGAGATGGAAGATTCCTAGCCCCACCGCCAATGCCGGTGGTGATAGCATCATCTTACATTTTGCACATAGTGCAGAATATGGTGCTGTGATTGAGAGAGAGATAGAGAGTGTGCACTGCAAGGCAAAGGCAATTGACCACTTTAAGCAATTCACTTGTGAAGGTTGTTCAGTAAATCTTGAAAAATTACTGAATCTTCATCCAACGTTTTCGATGTGAGAATCCATCCATATTCTATTGTAAATGTGTTTTCCCCTCCCTTTGTACGACCGTCATGTCCTGCCAATGCCTCATCAATAATGGAATATTCAGTTTTGATCGCTTGGAAAGAGGAGAAAAACGACTTGGTAAGAAAGAAAGAAAGAAAGGAAAGGAGAAAGGAATAAAGAAAAAAAGAAAGGAATGAAGTAAAGGAGAAAGAAAGGAAAAAGAAAGAAAGGAAGGATGGGAGAAAGAAAGAAAGAAGGGTTTTACGCCTCCTCATAATACCTCATAAATATTAGGCTATTCCGTTTTGATAAAGAAATCCATATCCGAGATGCTTGGATTCAGGGAGAAAATGTATAAAAGGAAAAAGAGGAGATAGAATTGAAATGGGAAAAAAGTTGTCAATTTTAAATCTTCTTAAAATAATGAGCAGCATTCATATTCATGATTGTTCTTGCAATATTTTGTTAAAGTTGTTAAGCTCAATTATTTAATGATGCGATCGGTGAATTTCTATAGGTATTTTATTGTCGTAGAACTCACCATGGGCTTGCTCAATCATTAATCTAAATAATAAAAATCCACCAGGATATTAAAATAGGAAAACCGTAAATTTAATTTACACGAGTCTTTCTAGTATATATATAATATATATATATATAATATATATATATATATAATATATATATATATATATATATATATATATAATATATAATATATATATATATATATATAATATATATATATATATATATATATATATATATATAATATATATATATATATAATATATATATATATATATATATATATATATATATATATATATATATATATATATATATATATATATATATATATATATATATATATATATATATATATATATATATATATATATATATATATATATATATATATATATATATATATATATATATATATATATATATATATATATATATATATATATATATATATATATATATATATAATATATATATATATATATATATATAATATATATATATATATATATATATATATATATATATATATATATATATATATATATATGAGAAAAATATACATGTATCACTATCCTCTAATTAACTTTGCTCGGCACAATCACTGACCTGCCCACTCGAATACTTTCCATTTCATTTACACAACACTCTTACCACAGACACTATAATACCGCTATTTTATTTTAATCATTTCATCCCAAGTAAGGCAATAAAGTCACCAAGACTCAAGGGATTACTGAGTGTGAGAAGAAGAAAACATTCTTAAGGAGAGAGAATAATAAAAACAAGGCTTAAAAAGATAACGATTGACATTGTACTTAAATTTTTGAAGATCAAAGTTGACTGGGAAGCAAGCATCTGGAAGAGAGTTCTGCAAGCGAGAGAAGAAACTATTAGCATAGAACTTACGGTTACATCCAGACATTTCAACTTTTCATTGCGCCTTCTCGGTCTATCGTTTTCCACTAACATGAAGGGAAACAATTATATTAAATTTTACCACCAGAATTTTGTAGATTTTATAAATTTTCCAATCGTCCGTCCATTGAATGTTGCTGCCACATCTGGTCCAGTGCTTTCGGATATGTATCTAGGGATTCTTGACAAAATCCGAAAAAGAATCTGCAATGTAATCGGTTCTGACTTGGCATCTCGACTTCAATCATTCCCACAGCCGTATCATAGAACCTGTGTCTTTTCTATAAATATTTTCATGAGAATTATTCTGTTGAATTTTGCTTTTTGGTACCAAGACTTCATAAATTTAAGCGCAGTACTAGATTGGCAGTTAGGTCTCATCATTTTACCGTTGGAAATCTCTTCCGGCTTCTTGCATTCTTGTTAACTACGATTTCAAAATATTTAAATGTAACGTCAATCGTCATCTTCTGTCTCACTGAATTCAGTTCTTGCTATTGACCTCTCTCTTCAATAATGCTTTCTTAGATTCTTTCACGCTTACTACCCACTACATCTTAGTGGCTGTATCGCCTTGCTTGGGATGAAATAATTAAAAAGAATGGCAATTTTGTTACTACACCACGTTGAAGTGGCCATTCCATTCAAAATATTAACTACTGTACGAGGTATTTTGGATGAAATGGACTCGTAACAGCAAATAAACAGTTGGAATTTTCGATAAGGCAAAGAGTAAAACTCGATAAATAACAATCTTTTGGTAAATAGATTATTTCTTAAAACATCTGGCCAAGGCATAAACTAATATTCTGGTATCTACATCTAGAAATAACAAAATTTAAAATGTTATGCCATTTTTTTAAAGTATTTCACCCCAAGCAAATCAGGAGTGCCACTAGCACACAACGGGTTACAGAGAGTGAAAGCAATAGAAAAGACGGGTATTTGTGGAAAGGATAAAGAGAAGGACGGAGATCATGATCAAATCATCAGAAAATTTGTCTATATTTCTGAGATGAGGTATTATGTACACTATTTACATCATTCAGACTATTGTCCTCATCTTTGTTGCCATATTTATTACAACGTTTCGGCCCTTCAGTATCTGTCTATATTTCTGAGATGAGGTATTATGTACACTATTTACATTATTCGGACTATTGTCCTCATCTTTGTTGCCATATTTATTACAACGTTTCGGCCCTTCAGTATCTGTCTATATTACTGAGATGAGGTATTATGTACACTATTTACATTATTCGGACTATTGTCCTCATCTTTGTCGTCATAATTATTACAACGTTTCGGCCTTTCAATATCTGTCTATATTTCTGGGATGAGTTATTATGTACACTATTATGCCGTGCCAGACAATTTTTCTCGCCAGAATCCATCTTGCATATTTAAAAATCTACCATTCATCCGTCCATTGAATATTGCTCTGTTTGGTGCTCCTATAATATATCGAGATTCTCAACAAAGTCCAGTCTGTTATGTTATCAATTCCGACCTGGCATCTCGACTTCATTCACTTTCTCACCATTGTGACGAGGTTTCCCTCTGTTTTTTCTATAAATATTTTCATGGCATCAGCTCTTCCCATTGTTACGGTGATACTGCATGAATTTAATTGTGTAACTAGAGTGGCAATTAGGTCTTATTGTTTTATTGCTGAAATAGCATAGAATAGTTTTAACCGCAAGTTCTATTCTAATAGTTTCTTTTCTCGCACTTCTCACTTGTGGAAGTCCCTTCCGATTTCTTGCTTCCCTGCCAATTACAATCTTCAAAAATTTAAATGCAACGTCAATCGCCATCTTTTGTTTCTGAACCCTATTCTTTTATTGTCTTTTCTCCCTAACTAAAGTCTTCTCATTATTTACATTATTCGGACTATTGTCCTCATCTTTGTCGCCATATTTATTACAACGTTTCGGCCGTTGTACGCTCCGGCCTTCTTCAGATGGTTGGAATGTCGAACTGAACCCTTTATTTCGCTCACTGGGGTAGACTTTTCTAGTTCCATGTGCCATGTTTAGTGGATGTCAGTTATCAGAACTTTATGAAGGGAATTAACAGGAGATAACTGACAACTGACATCCATTAAACATGGCACGTGGAACTAGAACAGACTACCCCAGTGAGCGAAATAAAGGGTTCAATTCGACATTCCAACCACCTGAAGAAGGCCGGAGCGTACAACGGCCGAAACGTTGTAATAAATATGGCAACAAAGATGAGGTCATAAGAAAATGTCAATTAACATGACATTTAAATTTTGAAGATTATAGTTATCAGGGAAGAAAGTAAGAGTAAGGTAGTTCCACTGTCGAGAAGTGCGAGAGAAGAAGCTGTTGGAGTAGAAGAGGTGGTTACATTTAACTGTTTCGACAGTGAAAGGGTGGGACCTAGATCCCAATCTAGTAGCACGCTTAAATTCATGGAGTTGAGGCACCAGTGCAAATAGCTTATCAGAGCAGTTTCCACGAAAATATTTGAAGAAAGGTCAGAGGGAAGACACATCACGTCTGTGACTGAAGTAGAGATGCCAGGTGAGGACCTATCACATTGCATATCCGTCTTTGGATTTTGTCGAGAACCTTGAGAAGAACAGCGGGGGCACCAGACTATATATTGTACAAGAACTGCTTGTCCGGAGAAATATGTCATCTTTACGCTTTTTTGATGATTTACAAAGCTTAGATGTGGCATTAGACCGAAAATCATTGAGGATCGACCTCACTACCCAGTCATAGCGAGACAAGCTTGTGAACCATTACACCGCGGAGAAGGACATGTCTTTGAGCTTTTAAATCATTTTTCAAACAGATTTTGGATTTTATCATTTGTTTTTATTAAACAGGTTTTCTACATTTAATATTCATTTTTGATGCTAACATTCTTTGTTAATTATCCTCTAAGCATCGAAACAACGTGACATTATAGAAAGGAAGTCAGATTCAAGGTAAATTTTCGTTAAAGGTGCCTCAAACATTTTCACTACAGAAGACCATACGTGTAATCATTTGCCTTAGAAATTAGGAAAGGCTGATTGTTGTTTGGAGAAAATATTTCTCAATAATTAAAAGTTTCGGTATAATATTATCACGAATGAGATACACTACTGCGAGGTGAGTGAGTTGTTTCTTATTTATTCATTCGAAATTTTTAAAAAAATAATTTTAAAATAAAAAATATATTTATCCAGAGAAAAAATATTATGAACGTCATGTTTCTAAAGCAAATGATATTTACACGCATGATCTTCCTTAGTGAAAATAAGCAATGGTCTAAAATGATGAAGACGTTACCTTCAACAAAAAGTTACAAAAT